TGTCACAAGTAAACCCCCAATTTTCACTGATAAACCCCCAATTTTCATATTTCAAACCCAAATTTTCACAAGTAAACCCCGATTTTCCCAAATAAAACCCAATTTTTCCCAAATAAAACCCAATTTTTCCCAAATAAAACCCAAATTTTCCCAAATAAAACCCCAATTTTCACAAGTAAATCCCCAATTTTTTACAGATAAACCCCAATTTTCATATTTAAACCCCAATTTTCACACCTAACCCCCAAATTTACACAGGAAAAATCCCAAATTTTCACTGATAAAACCCCAATTTTCACAAATACATCCCAAATTTTCACATTTAACCCCCCAATTTTTACAAATAAACCCCAATTTTCACACCTAACCCCCCTAATTTTCACCAATAACCCCCAATTTTCACCAATAAACCCCATTTTTCACCAATAAACCCCAATTTTCACAAATAACCCCCAATTTTCACAAATAAACCCCAAATTTTCACCAATAACCCCCAATTTTCCCACATAAACCCCCAAATTTTCACAGATAAACCCCAATTTTCACCAATAAACCCCTAATTTTCACCAATAACCTCCAATTTTTACAAATAACCCCCAATTTTCACCAATAAACCCCTAATTTTCACCAATAACCCCCAATTTTTACCAATAACCCCCAATTTTTACAAATAAACCCAAATTTTCACCAATAACCCCCAATTTTCACAAGTAAACCCACAATTTTTTACAAATAAACCCAATTTTCACACCTAAACCCCCCAATTTTCACCAATAACCCCCCATTTTCCCACATAGACCCCCAAATTTTCCCAAATAACCCCCAAATTTTCCCAGATAAACCCCCAATTTTCACAAATAAACCCCAATTTTCATATTTTAAACCCGAATTTTCACCAATAACCCCCAATTTTCATATTTTAAACCCCAATTTTCACACCGAACCCCCCCGATTTTCCCAGCTAACCCCCCACTTTTCCCCGCTCCCGCCTTTCCCTGCTTCCCGAGCTTTCAACCCCTGACCCATCCGGGAATTCCCTGACTCCAGAGCGACTCCCGGAGCCTGGAAAAGCGGGAGAATTGTCCCTCCCCCGATCCCGCAAATCCAATCCCGTTGGGAACCCCGATTATCCGGACGAGCCATTTCCAAGGAAACCGCTCCCGGGGAGCCCTTCCCGGAATTGGTGGGGAGGGAAAAATCCCTCGGGAACGTTGGAGGGCTCCGAGGGATTCAAACTAATCCGGTTCTGGAATTCCCGGGAGAGCTCCCGGAGCCCGGACGGGAAATTCCGAGAGCGGGTTTGGGGGATGGAGCAAGGAATTGTCCACCGGGATGGAGCTGCTCCCAGGGAATAAAGGGAATTAATTCCCATTTTTTTCTTTCTGGAAAGACTTTAGGATCGAGAGCAGGTTTGTGGGATGGAGCTGCTCCCAGGGGAACAAAGTGACTCAATTCCCATTTTTTTCTTTCTTTCTGGAAAGACTTTAGGATCGAGAGCAGGTTTTTGGGATGGAGTTGCTCCCAAGGGAACAAAGTGACTCAATTCCCATTTTTTTCGTTCTGGAAAGACTTTAGGAATGAGAACAGGTTTGTGGGATGGAGCTGCTCCCAGGGGAACAAAGTGACTTAATTCCCATTTTTTCCTTTCTGGAAAGACTTTAGGAATGAGAGCAGGTTTGTGGGATGGAGCTGCTCCCAAGGGAACAAATTGTCTTAATTCCCATTTTTTTCCTTCTGAAAAGACTTTAGGAGTGGGAGCAGGTTTGTGGGATGGAGCTGCTCCCAAGGGAACAAAGTGACTTAATTCCCATTTTTTTCTTTCTGGAAAGACCTGAGAAGCGAAAGCAGGTTTGTGGGATGGAGCTGCTCCCAAGGGAATAAAGTGACTCAATTCCCATTTTTTTCTTTCTGGAAAGACTTTAGGAATGAGAACAGGTTTGTGGGATGGAGCAAGGAATTGTCCACCGGGATGGAGCTGCTCCCAGGGGAATAAAGCGACTTAATTCCCATTTTTTTCTTTCTGGAAAGACTTTAGGAATGAGAACAGGTTTGTGGGATGGAGCTGCTCCCAAGGGAACAAAGTGACTTAATTCCCATTTTTTTCCTTCTGGAAAGACTTTAGGAATGAGAGCAGGTTTGTGGGATGGAGCTGCTCCCAAGGGAACAAATTGTCTTAAATCCCATTTTTTTCCTTCTGGAAAGAATTTAGGAGCGAGAGCAGGTTTTTGGGATGGAGCTGCTCCCTTCCCCTTTGGAATCCTGGCTTGGGGAGGAGGGAAATTATCCCAAAGCCAGGTCTGGGCAAGGATTTGTCCACCTGGATCGTGGTCAAGGACTGGGGAAGAGTCTCCCAGGGAGGTGATTTGGCTCAAGACGTGTCACAGTCCAGGAATAAAGTGACTTAATTCCCATTTTTTCCTTTCGGGAAAGACTTTTGGAGTGTGAGCAGGTTTTTGGGATGGAGCAAGGAATTGTCCACCTGGATCGTGGTCAAGGAATAGGGAAGAGTCTCCCAGGGAGGTGATTTGGCTCAAGACGTGTCACAGTCCAGCAGCTCCCAAGGGAATAAAGTGACTTAATTCCCATTTTTTTCCTTTCTGGAAAGACTTTAGGATTGAGAGCAGGTTTGTGGGATGGAGCTGCTCCCAAGGGAACAAAGGGACTTAATTCCCAAACCTGCTCTCGCTCCTAAAGTCTTTCCAGAAAGGAAAAAATGGGAATTGAGTCACTTTATTCCCTTGGGAGCAGCTCCATCCCAAAAACCTGCTCTCATTCCTCAAGTCTTTCCAGAAGGAAAAAATGGGAATTGAGTCACTTTGTTCCCTTGGGAGCAGCTCCATCCCACAAACCTGTTCTCATTCCTCAAGTCTTTCCAGAAAGAAAAAATGGGAATTGAGTCACTTTGTTTCCCTGGGAGCAGCTCCATCCAGGTGGACAATTCCTTGCTCCATCCCCCAAACCTGTTCTCATTCCTAAAGTCTTTCCAGAAGGAAAAAAAATGGGAATTAATTCCCTTTATTCCCTTGGGAGCTGCTGCTTTGCCGTGCCACGATTCCCTTTTCCAGCTGTGGCTCCGCCCTTCCCTGTTTTCCTGCCCACAGGGATTATTTTTCCCGTATAATTCAGGAACGACGCGTTTTTTCCGGATGGTTCCAAACTCTTCACCCCCCCCCCCCCCCGGATGGTGTCTGGAATTCCAATCCCTCCGTGATTCCTGGGCTGCCCCACCAGCCCAGCTGGGAATTCCGGAAGCTTCCCAGCCTGGCTGGGGGCTCTGCAGGCATCCCAAGCCCTCAGAATTCCCGGGAAAGCTCCCTCACCAAGGAAAAATCAGATTTTGGGTTGGTTTTGGTGGTTTTTTTTCTAAGGAAAAAAAAGCTTTTCCCGCCAGGGGAATAAAAGTCCCCAAATCTCCCTCCTCCAACGCCTGGGATATCGTGGATAAAGGGAATTCTACCCGAGCAATGGGGTGACCCCAAAACCAGGGAAATCTGAGCTCGGTGTGGAAAAGTTTTAATAATCCCCTGTTATTATTATATGTTATATATTATTATATGTAAAAAAATATATACATTATATATATATGTATATATATATACATATATACATAAAATATATATATATGCATATATTTTATGTATATTTTATGTACATATATGTATGTCTATATGTATATACATATGTATATATTTTATGTACATATAGATAATGTGAATATATATATACATTATATATATACATTATATAATATGTATATATTATATATAAAATATATATATTATCTATGTATATAATATATATAATATTATTTATTAGTATATATAACACATTATATATTATATATAATAACATATTACTGCATATAATATAACATAATATATAATAATATATATAGTAATATATAATAATATTATTATATTATATATTATATATTATATATTATATAAAATATATATTATAATATATAATAATATTCTATCTTATGTACAATATATAATATTATATATAATATATAATTATATATATTCTTACTATATATAATACTATATTTACTATATATAATAGTATTATATTATAATATATATTATATGTGATAATATATATTGTTATATATACTATTATATACTGTTACATATAATATGTATTATAATTCATATATTATATATTATATACTATTATATATAGTATATATTATAATATATATTAATACATATATATAATATTATATATAGTACATATTCTCATTATATATAATAATATATACAATATAGAATATTATATATAATATATATAATATATAATTATATATATTCTTATTATCTATAATATTATATTTAATAGATAATAGTATTGTATTATAATATATATTATATCTGGTAGTATATAATATTATTATATATACTATTATATACTGTTACATATAATATGTATTATAATTCATATATTATACATTATATATATAATATATAATATATATTATATATAATATATATTATAATTTATAATATATGTTATATATAACAATATATAATAGTATATATAATATATTTATTATATATTATAATATATATTATATATAATAGTATATAATGTTATTATATATATAATATATATAATTATATATTCAATAATTCCTTTAGCACTGGAGCTGCTGTGTCCCTTCCCAACATTCCCAATGGAATATTGTCCCATCTGGGACAGGTGTGTCCCCCTGAGCTGTGGCCACCAAAACTTTGCATCCCTCTGGTTGGATTTCCCAAATCCTCAGCTCCAAAAAGCTTCCAGGACTCGAGGCTGGAATTTTGAACCAATCCTTGAGTTTCGAATCCTGATTTTTTTCTCTCATTACCCAGGGAAAACCATCGAGGGAAAGAGGAGGAGGAGGAGGAGGAGGAGGGACTTCCCAAAGTCAGGATCAGGCTGAAATCAGATATTCCCACCTTTCCTTGAGGTCTTTCCCAAGATTTCCATTTCCCAGGCCAACCAACGGGAATTCCGCAGCGTTGACACACTTTTATTTTCCAAAAATACACTCCAGGGTTTTTTTTTTCCCACCTTCCAATCCCGTGGGATGAAGTCGGGAGCCTTTGGACATCCCCCCTTTCCAGGGGTGTTTCCCTCCCCTCATCCCGCTGGATTTCCTCTTCAGAATTCCCGTTTTCCCAACACCTCTTGCCTTTTCCCCTCCAAAGGTTTGTCCTGCTCGTCCGAGATGTCCCGGAGAAACTTCTCCCAGCTCCGTTTCCCTGGGATTTGAACCAGGGAATTCCAGCGGCTCAGCTCCCTCTGCCTGGTGTTGGGAAGAGAGGGAAGAGGAAAGGAAGGGAATGTCACAATCCCTCTTGGAATTCCCAAGCTTCTGGTGGCTCAGGACACCCCGGGATCCCCTGTCCCAGGTCGTGTCCCAGCACATCCAACATCCAGAAGGAAAACATGGATGAGAGGATCCCGATCCCGGCACCACTTGGAGAAACGACCCCACGGATTGTTGGGATTGGATGAATCCCACTCCGTGTGGGATTGGATGAATCCCACTCCATGTGGGATTGGATGAATCCCATTCCGTGTGGGATTGGATGAATCCCATTCCGTGTGGGATTGGATGAATCCCATTCCGTGTGGGATTGGATGAATCCCATTCCGTGTGGGATTGGATGAATCCCACTCCGTGTGGGATTGGATGAATCCCACTCCGTGTGGGATTGGATGAATCCCATTCCGTGTGGGATTGGATGAATCCCATTCCATGTGGGATTGGATGAATCCCATTCCATGTGGGATTGGATGAATCCCATTCCGTGTGGGATTGGATGAATCCCATTCCGTGTGGGATTGGATGAATCCCACTCCGTCCCCAGTGCTGGAGGCACCTCCAGCTGCTTCCTGATCCCACAGCGTCTCCCGGTGTCATTCCCTGGGATAAAACCCCAGGAAGAGGTTCATTCCTTCCCCGGTGCCGGATTGAAAGCACTGGGAATGGTTTCCATGGAATGATCCCAAGCCTTGGGCTGGATGGATCCCAAGCCTCCGGTCACCGGAACAGCAAATCCCTAATTCCCGACCGGCACAGCCCTTCCCAGAAAGCTCCTGAGCTCCTGGAATATTTTCCCTGCCTTTATTCCTTCCGGATCGGGAATGTTTGGCCACCCAGAGCCCCTTTTTGCACCTCGGGAAGATTCCAGGGGGATGAGAACATTCCCGGGATGTTGATTTTTAGGATTAAGAGGCGCCCGCCCCAAAAAACCAACCGAAGAGTTCCCGGAAAGCTCCGAAATGGAATTTTGGGAATTTCTGGAATTGTAGAAATTCGGGAATTTCTGGAATTGTAGAAATTCAGGAATTCCTGGAATTGTAGATCTCCATCTCTGATTTATTTCTCTTTATTAATTGGCCTCCAAACCCAGAGCAGATGAACCTCCCTGGGGATTTTTTTTGGAATGTATTCCGGAAAACAAATGAATTTTTTCCCGCTTCCGCTTCCCAGAGGAATTGTCTCCAGGCCCAGGAGGAAAATCTTTCTAGGAATGCTGGTTTTAACCAGCAAAGCTTGGCAGAGGAGAGTCTGACTCCCTGCCAGGGTCCTTTTCCCCTGGAGACCAGGAAAATCCACCCAAATCCCGGATATCTGGCACCGGAAGCCCAGCCGCGCTTCTGGGAGGGAAGTTTTTGCCATGGAAAGCTTGGATTAGGTGGGAGCCCAAGGTTGCTCACAAGGTGGTCTGGAGTAGGTTTGGAGCCCTTGGTGGCTGGAGATGCCAAGGAGGCGGTTGGATGGAGAATTCCAGAGGAATTCCTGGAATTCCTGCCCTCGGAAAGCACAACCCGTCCCAATTGGACCCTCCTCGTCACCCACAGGGCCACCAGTGGAAGTGGCCTGAGGGAGGGGACATCCAGGAGCTCCTGGAAAGGGATCAAAGCCAGCTGGGAATGGGAGGGGAACAAACCCTTGGGAATCAGGACCCCGCTCCAACCGCTCCAAGCCTTCTCCCGATCCCGGTGAGGGCAAGGTAATAGGGATGACATGGTTGGGATGGCCATGGAGGGTTTTCCTGCTTTTCTGGAAGTGGCCTGAGGCAGGGGACGTCCAGGAGCTCCTGGAAGGGAATCAAAGCCAGCTGGGAATGGGAGGGGAACAAACCCTTGGAAATTAGGGACAGCATTCCAAGCTTTCTCCCGATCCCGGTGAGAGGAAGGCAATTGAAGTGGGATGGTTGGGATGGCCATGGAGGAGTTTTCCTGCTTTTCTGGAAGTGGCCCAAGGGAGGGGACATCCAGGAGCTCCTGGAAGGGGGTCAAAGCCAGCTGGGAATGGGAAGGGAACAAACCCTTGGAAATTAGGGACAGCATTCCAAGCCTTCTCCTGATCCCAGTGAGGGCAAGGCAATAGAGGTGGGATGATTGGGATGGCCATGGAGGGGTTTTCCAAGATCCATTTGGTGATCCAGGATCCCATTGGGTGATCCAGAACCCCACTGGGTGATCCAGGATCCCATTTGGCGATCCAGGATCCCACTGGGTGATCCAGGATCCCATTTGGTGATCCAAGATCCATGGGGTGATCCAGGGTCACAGTTGGTGATCCAGGTTTCCCTGCTTTTCCCTCCCTCCTGGCTGGATCTGGAGGACTCCAGGGGCTGCCTTACCTGCCGAGGCTCCGCAGCGCCGCTCGCATTCCCGCCGGGATTGGAAGCGATTCCCGTTCCCTCGGCATCCCCCGAAAAGGAAGGGCCTGCAGGCCTTGGCCTCGGGGTGGAAGTACCAGAGCAGGGAATAATCCTGGCAGGATCCCTCATCCATGGGCTGCAGGCAGGAGGCTGCGGGAGGACATCCCCAAATCCCAACTCACGTGTTGGATCCAGGTGGGAAAAGGCCCCGCGCTCTGCCAGCCCTGTTTTCCCAGGAAAATGTGTGGAACTGGGAAAAGGCCTCACTCTCTGCCAGCCCTGTTTTCCCAGGAAAACGTGTGGAATTGGGAAAAGGCCACGCTCTGCCAGCCCCGTTTTCCTGTGAAAATGTGTGGAATTGGGAAAAGGTAACACTCTCTGTCAGCCCTGTTTTCCCAGGAAAATGTGTGGAATTGGGAAAAGGCCACACGCTCTGCCAGCCCTGTTTTCCCGGGAAAATGTGTGGAATTGGGAAAAGGCCACGCTCTGCCAGCCCTGTTTTCCCGGGAAAATGTGTGGAGTTGGGAAAAGGCCAAGCTCTGCCAGTCCCGTTTTCCTGGGAAAATGTGTGGAATTGGGAAAAGGCCACACTCTGCCAGCCTCATTTTCCCAGGAAAATGTGTGGAGTTGGGAAAAGGCCACGCTCTGCCAGCCCCGTTTTCCTGGGAAAATGTGTGGAATTGGGAAAAGGCCACGCTCTGCCAACCCCGTTTTCCCAGGAAAAACGTGTGGGGTTGTTTTAGGAACCCACCATTTAGGGATCCACAGCCCCACCTGATCCCAAAGCAACGGGGTTGGCAGAGGAAAAAGGGGAAGCAAGGACCAAGGAGGGCATCCAGCAGCACATTCCCGGTGGGAATAACCCCCCCCTGTGGTGCCTGTGACCTTTGCAAGGAGGGGATGAATCCTGGAATCCTGGAAGGAGGAATGTTTGGATTTGGGGAAGTGCCCGGAGGACTCTCCCTGCGGATTTTCCTGGTGGGATCCAGATGGGATGAAAACCAAACCTCTGCATCCCTCTGGATTTCCACTCCACACCTCCAAAAGCCTCGAGGACCCGGGAGTGGAATTTTGAACCAATCCTTGAATTTTGAATCCTGTTTTTTTCCCCTGTTGTACATTTTGGGATGGATCCTCTTCTCCTGCCCAGGGAAAATGGCCAAGTGGGGGAGAAGGTGGGATATTGTGGGATGAGGGGAATCCTTCCTGCTTTAAGCCGAGTCCTAAACCCAGCTTTAAGCTCGGCTGGCTCAGCCCCACGTCCCTCCATCCCAAAAAAAACCCTTCCCAGGTGGGAATTGGATTCCCTAAATGTCACTTTGCCTCACCTGGGAATTCTCTGCGGATTCCTTGGCTCTGCTCCCACTCCCGGGGATTTGTTGCCTCCTCTGGAGTCGCCTCTGCGGGAGCAAATGGAAATGACTCTTAATGAGGGCTCACAAACTAATTAACTCCCGGGATAACGAGTCCCTCTTAACGAGGAGCGGAACAATAAAACCCCTTTAATGGGGTTAAACAGCTCCGGGGAAAAATGGGAGCGACTGTTTGCGGGGAGAGAAATGTCAGGGCTGGAGCTTTGGAAAGCTCCAGAGCCTTTGGAAAGCTCCGGAGCCTTTGGAAAACCCGAGAGCCTTTGGAAAACCCGGGAGCCTTTGGAAAACCCGGGAGCGATTGTAATCTGGCGGCGATAAGGGAGCCACGGGGATTTATGGGGCGGGATTTAATGGGGTGGGAACGGCCCCCAGAACCCAAATCCTGCCCTGGCAGGAAGGGAATTCAAACCTTGGATGTCCAACAATTCCCAGGAGAGGCCGTTCCTTGCCCTGGGAATTGTCACAGGGAGGAGAAGGTGGGATATTGTGGATGAGGGGAATCCTTCCACCCCAAACCAGGGAAAGCTGAGCTCAGCGTTCCCAAACTGGGCAGGAGACTTTTAAGAACCCCCTGTTTTGCCACTGGAGCTGCTGCAACCCTTCCCAAGGGCTGGAATGTTGTCCCATGGAGGATGGGACCCTCTGGGCCGTGTCCAAATCTTTGCATCCCTCTGGATTTCCACTCCTCAGCTCCAAAACCCTTCAGGGTTTGAGGCTGGAATTTGATCCAGAATCCCATTGGGTGATCCAGAATTCCATTGGGTGATCCAAGGTCCCATTGGGTGATCCAGGGGCACATTTGGTGATCCAAGATCCCATTGGGTGATCCAGGATCCCATTTGGTAACCCAGGATCCCATTGGATGACCCAGGGGCACAGTTGGTGATCCAGGATCCCACTAGGTGATCCAAGATCCATTTGGTGATCCAGGATCCCATTTAGTGATCCAGAATCCCATTGGGTGATCCAGGATCCCACTGAGTGATCCAGAATCCCATTGGATGATCCTGGATCCCATTGGGTGATCCAGGGGCACAGTTGGTGATCCAGGATCCCATTGGGTGACCCAAGCTCACAATTGGTGATCCAAGATCCCATTGGGTGATCCAGGAACCCATTTGGTGATCCAGGATCCCATTGGGTGATCCAGGACCACAGTTGGTGATCCAGGATCCCACTGGGTGATCCAGGATCCCACTAGGTGATCCAAGATCCATTTGGTGATCCAGGATCCCATTTAGCGATCCAGAATCCCATTGGACGATCCTGGATCCCACTGAGTGATCCAGGGGCACAGTTGGTGATCCAAGATCCCATTTGGTGACCCAGCATCCCATTGGGTGATCCAAGATCCCATTGGGTGATCCAGGGGCACAGTTGGTGATCCAGGATCCCATTTGGTGACCGAGAATCCCATTGGGTGATCCAGGATCCCATTGGGTGACCCAAGTTCCATTTGGTGATCCAGGATCCCACTGGGTGATCCAGGATCCCACTGGGTGATCAAGGATCCATTTGGTGATCCAGAATCCCACTGGGTGATCCAAGATCCCACTGAGCGATCCAGGATCCCATTGGATGATCCTGGATCCCATTTGGGTGATCCAAGATCCCATTTGGTAATCCAGGATCCCACTGGGTGATCCAAGATCCCATTGGGTGACCCAAGATCCCATTGGGTGACCCAGGGTCCCATTGGGTGAATCCCTGGGCATTCCCTGGATTTCAGCATCCTTACCCTTTTCCAGGAGCACCATTCCCGACTCCCCTCCACAATCTGCAAAGACACCAAAGGCAGGGCCGAGTTTGCTCCATTTTTTCCGGGTATAAATAAGATTTTCCAACAAAATCCGGATTTTTCCAGGCAGCAAATGCTTTCAGGGCCTGTTTTCCAGCCTTTATTCCCCCCCTTCCAAGCATCCAAATGCTTCCTGACATCTCCAGGAGTGGGATTCCAGACATTGTGGCCCAGAATTCCACCCTGATTTCTGAGCAGAGGGAAAACAGGGATTAAAATGGGAATTAAAGGGTGTTAGGAGGGAAATGCAGCTCCAAACTTTCAGTAATCAGGGATAAAGGGAATGAGGGATGGATGGAATGAGGGATGAATGGAATGAGGGATGAATGGAATGAGCAGCGAGGAAGGATTTGCCATAAAAAACAGGGAAAGAAATGGGAAGAGAGGGGATTTAAGGGGGAAAAAATCAGAGTTTCAGTGGGATGAAAAAACATTTTGGCTCAGAATTCCACCCCCATTTCTGAGCAGAGGGAAAAGAGGGATTAAAACAGGAATTAAAGGGGGTTAGGAGGGAAAATGCAGCTCCAAACTTTCAGTAATCAGGGATAAAGAGAATGAGGGATGAATGGAATGAGGGATTAATGGGATGAGGGATGAATGGGATGAGGGATGAATGGAATGAGGGAGGAATGGAATGATCAAGGAGAAAGGATTTGCCACAAAAAAACAGGGAAAGAAATGGGAAGAGAGGGGATTTAAGGGGAAAAATGAGAGTTTCAGTGGGATGAAAAGTCATTGTGGTTCAGAATTCCACCCTCATTTCTGAGCAGGGAGAAAACAGGGATTAAAATGGGAATTAAAGGGGGTTAGGAGGGAAAATGTAGCTCCAAATTTTCCATAATGAACAGGGGAATGGAATGAGGGATGGATGGAATGAGGGATGAATGGAATGAGGAATGAATGGAATGAGGAATGAATGGAATGAGGGAGGAATGGGATGAGCAGGGAGGAAGGATTTGCCACAAAAAAACAGGGAAAGAAATGGGAAGAGAGGGGCTTTAAAGGGGAAAAAATCAGAGTTTCAGTGGGATGAAGAGACATTTTGGCTCAGAATTCCACCCTCATTTCTGAGCAGAGGGAAAAGAGGGATTAAAAAGGAATTAAAGGGGGTTAGGAGGGAAAATGCAGCTCCAAAATTTCAGTAATCAGGGATAAAGGGAATGAGGGATGGATGGAATGAGGGATGGATGGAATGAGGGATGAATGGATTGAGGGATGAATGGAATGAGGGAGGAATGGGATGAGCAGGGAGGAAGGATTTGCCACAAAAAACAGGGAAAGAAATGGGAAGAGAGGGGATTTAAGGGGGAAAAAATCAGAGATTGAGTGGGATGAAAAGACATTTTGGCTCAGAATTCCACCCTCATTTCTGAGCAGAGGGAAAAGAGGGATTAAAACAGGGATTAAAGGGGGTTAGGAGGGAAAATGCAGCTCCAAAATTTCAGTAATCAGGGATGAATGGAATGAGGGATGAATGGAATGAGGGAGGAATGGGATGAGCAGGGAGGAAGGATTTGCCATAAAAAACAGGGAATGAAATGGGAAGAGAGGGGATTTAAGGGGAAAAATCAGAGTTTCAGTGGGATGAAAAGTCATTGTGGCTCAGAATTCCATTGTCATTTCTGAGCAGAGGGAAAACAGGGATTAAAGCAGGAATTAAAGGGGGTTAGGAGGGAAAATGCAGCTCCAAAATTTCAGTAATCAGAGATGAATGGAATGAGGGATGAATGGAATGACCACAAAAAAACAGGGAAAGAAATGGGAAGAGAGGGGATTTAAGGGGAAAAATCAGAGTTTCAATGGGATGAAAAGATGTTGTGGCTCAGAATTCCACCCTCATTTCTGAGCGGAGGGAAAATAGGGATTAAAATGGGAATTAAAGGGTGTTAGGAGGGAAATGCAGCTCCAAACTTTCAGTAATCAGGGATAAAGGGAATGAGGGATGAATGGAATGAGGGAGGAATGGAATGAGGGAGGAATGGAATGAGGGATGGATGGAATGAGGGATGAATGGAATGAGGGAGGAATGGGATGAGCAGGGAGGAAGGATTTGCCATAAAAAACAGGGAAAGAAATGGGAAGAGAGGGGATTTAAGGGGGAAAAAATCAGAGTTTCAGTGGGATGAAGAGACATTTTGGTCCAGAATTCCATTCCCATTTCTGAGCAGAGGGAAAAGAGGGATTAAAACAGGAATTAAAGGGGGTTAGGAGGGAAAATGCAGCTCCAAAATTTCCATAATGAACAGGGGAATGGAATGAGGGAGGAATGGAATGAGGGAGGAATGGAATGAGCAGGGAGGAAGGATTTGCCACAAAAAAACAGGGAAAGAAATGGGAAGAGAGGGGATTTAAGGGGAAAAAAATGAGAGTTTCAGTGGGATGAAAAGATGTTGTGGCTCAGAATTCCACCCTGATTTCTGAGCAGGGAGAAAACAGGGATCAAAGCAGGGAAAGAAAAGAGAAGAAAGGGGATTTAAGGGGGAAAAAATCCGAGTTTCAGCGGGATGAAAAGACATTTTGGCCTCATTTCTGAGCGGGGAGAGGTGACAAAGCTCCCCCGGGCTGTTAATGGGGTGACATTTCCATGGCTGAGCCTTGTGCCAGCTCCCAAATTGCTCCAATTTAGCCGCTGGCAGCTGCCAACTCACCCCCGGAGCACCTCAGCTCGCTCCTCACCAGCTCCTTCACCTCTTCCTCCTGTGCCAAGGAGGGGAAAAAAAGGGATTGAAACCGGGATTTTTCCAGCCTGGCAGCAAATCCCTCTGCTCATTCCCCCAGTGGATTTTACTCTGGAAAATTTAAATTATCAATTAAATGGTACAGAACCCGATTTGCAACGGGATAAAGACCTAAATTTTGAGGGATCTGCAACGGGGATTTTCCACTGATCCCCGAAAATTTGGGTCTTGAATCTGTCGCAAATTGGGTTTTGTGCCACTTGATTTATACTTTAATTTTTCCAGAGGGTTTAGGATTAATTTGAGCAGCTCCTGCTTGGCCCCAGGGCTGATCCAACACCAGGGCAAAGCAGGAGACAGGAATGGGCCCCATTTTCCAAGGTATCTGGGAGCAATCCTGAAGGAAAAGGAGTGGTTGGCCCACGTGGATCAGGGGAAAATCCCTGTTGCAGATCCCTTAAAATTTAGGTCTCCATCCTGTCACAAATTGGATTTTGTGTCACTTAATTGATGCTTTAATTTTTCCAGATCAGGGGAAAATCCCTGTTGCAGATCCCTTAAAATTTGGGTCTCCATCCTGTCACAAATTGGGTTTTTTGCCATTTAATTTATACTTTAATTTTTCCAGAGTGTTTAGGATTAATTTGAGCAGCTCCTGCTTGATCCAACACCAGGGAAAAGCAGGAGACAGGAATGTGCCAGCAGGGAAAAGCTGCTTTTCCAGGCTTATAAATCCTGAAGGAAAAGGAGTGGTTGATCCACCTAAGTATAAAGAATAAATCAAATGCCACAAAATCCATTTAGGCAACAGGATGGAGACCTAAATTTTAAAGGAGATCCATCAGGGATTTTCCCCTGATCCACGTGGATTTTTTCCTTCAGGATTTATAAGCCTGGAAAAGCAGCTTTTCCCTGCTGGCACATTCCTGTCTCCTGCTTTTCCCTGGTGTTGGATCAAGCAGGAGCTGCTCAAATTAATCCTAAACACTCTGGAAAAATTAAAGGATAAATTAAATGGCAAAAAACCCAATTTGTGACAGGATAAAGACCCAAATTTTGAGGGATCTGCAACAGGGATTTTCCCCTGATCTGGAAAAATTAAAGCATCAATTAAATGGCACAAAACTCAATTTGTAACAGGATCAAGATCCAAATTTTAAGGGATCTGCAACAGGGATTTTCCCCTGATCCACGTGGATCAATCACTCCTTTTCCTTCAGGATTGCTCCCAGAGGGCTTGGAAAATGGGGCCCATTCCTGTCTCCTGCTTTTCCCTGGTGTTGGATCAAGCAGGAGTTGCTAAAATTAATCCTAAACCCTCTGGAAAAATTAAAGGATAAATTAAATGGCACAAACCCCAGTTTGCAACAGGATGGAGACTTAAATTTTCAGGGATCTGCAACAGGGATTTTCCCCTAATCTGGAAAAATTAAAGCATCAATTAAGTGGCACAAAATCCGATTTGCAACAGGATGGAGACCTAAATTTTGAGGAATCTGCAACAGGGATTTTCCCCTGATCCACGTGGGCCAACCACTCCTTTTCCTTCAGGATTGCTCCCAGATGCCTTGGAAAATGGGGCCCATTCCTGTCTCCTGCTTTTCCCTGGTGTTGGATCAGCCCTGGGGCCAAGCAGGAGCTGCTCAAATTAATCCTAAACCCTCTGGAAAAATTAAAGGATAAATCAAGTAGCACAAAATCCAATTTGTGACACGATAAAGACCCAAATTTTGAGGGATCTGCAACAGGGATTTTTTCCTGATCCATGTGGGTCAACCACTCTTTTTTCTTCAGGATTTATAAGCCTGGAAAAGCAGCTTTTCCCTGCTGGCACATTCCTGTCTCCTGCTTTTCCCAAATGTTGGATCAAGCAGGAGCTGCTCAAATTAATCCTAAACACTCTGGAAAAATTAAAGGATAAATTAAATGGCACAAACCCCAGTTTGCAACAGGATGGAGACTTAAATTTTCAGGGATCTGCAACAGGGATTTTCCCCTGATCTGGAAAAATTAAAGTATAAATTAAGTGGTACAAACCCCAATTTGCGACAGGATGGAGACCTAAATTTTCAGGGATCTGCAACAGGGATTTTCTATTCTAGTTTGTTCTATTTTCCCCTCTTCCCAACACGATGAAATCACTCACAGTCAGCCCAGGGTCTCCCTTTTCTCCTTTGGGTCCCGCCGGGCCATTTTCACCCTGTTAAAAAACCACTTAAAGTCATTACAAAAGGCAGATCGAGCCTTAAATGCTCTCGAGAATAAAATTCACCTCATTTCCAGAAGATGAGCGGAAAAACACTCTTATTTTCCCATGAATTTTAGGGATATCTGTGCAAGAAAATAAGAATAAAAGCGTGGATCAGAGCTCCTGGATTTCTTTTGGTGGGGGGGGAAGATTTTTTTTGCTCTGCTCGACTCCAAAAAAAATAAAGATTTTTAACGGCCGGGTTTTATTTATTTATTTTCGGGTTTTTAAGGGGTTAAAAGCGCTCGGGTGGGGGCGGGGAGAGGGTGTGGAAAACCGGGAGCAAACCCCCGGGGGGGGGGGGAAGTTTGTCAGCAAGGGATTAAATTCCTTGAAAAATGTCCCCGAAAACCGGATTTGTGGGTTAAAAAAACCCGCTTAAAAATATTAAAGGACACGGAGAACAAGAAGAATGACCCGAATTAGGGGCAGGGAGGGTCATTTTTCTCAATCCAAGGGCTGGAACATGAGGGGGAAAATCGCATTAAGTTCCAGCAGCACATGGAGGCAAAGCAGAGCCGCTTCCTGATCCTAAAAATCCCGGGAAATGGTTGGCAGGAGCTGGGATTTGGGATTGTGGGGTGAGGCTCTTGTTTGTGTCCCCTGATGGGCATGAAAAGGTGGAATATTGGGGCTTTTTTCCTGGTTTTCCGTGGGAAAGACAGCAAGGATGTGCTGCCCCAAAATATGGGGTTTTCCCAAAGAAATCGGATTTAAAAAATCTGGAAGCCCCCAGGAATCCCAGGATTGTCCCAGCTGGAGAAGTGAATTCCCATATCCAATGTCTGGTATTTGGGATCATCCCATCCTGGCCCTGGTTCCTTTGGGATCATCCCAAACTGACCCTACCTCCTTTTGGGATCATCCCACACTCACTCTGGCTCCTTTGGGATCATCCCATCCCTACCCTGGCTCCTTTGGGATCATCCCATCCTGACCTGGCTCCTTTGGGATCATCCCACACTCACCCTGGCTCCTTTGGGATCATCCCACACTCACCCTGGTTCCTTTGGGATCATCCCACACTCACCCTGGTTCCTTTGGGATCATCCCAAACTCACCCTGGCTCCTTTGGGATCATCCCACACTCACCCTGGCTCCTTTGGGATCATCCCAAACTCACCCTGGCTCCTTTGGGATCATCCCAAACTCACCCTGGCTCCTTTGGGATCATCCCACACTCACCCTGGCTCCTTTGGGATCATCCCATCCCAACTCTGGCTCCTTTGGGATCATCCCAAACTCACCCTGGTTCCTTTGGGATCATCCCAAACTCACCCTGGCTCCTTTGGGATCATCCCAAACTCACCCTGGCTCCTTTGGGATCATCCCACACTCACCCTGGCTCCTTTGGGATCATCCCAAACTCACCCTGGCTCCTTTGGGTCCGTCCATTCCCGGGGGTCCCCTGAGGCCGATCCGGCTTTTCCCTCTTTTCCCTGGAGGCCCCTGGAGAGGGAAAGGAGAGCTCAGTCAGCACCTTCCAGACATTTCTCCCACAGCTCCAAGTGGGATTTTCCCCTTCAATCCCACGGAATGTTCAGCCTGGAAAGGAAACCCAGTTTTTGGGGGGCCTTCCAGGACCCGAAGGGAGCCAAAAAAAAAAAAGATGGAAAGGGAATATTTGGAAGAGCTTGGGAGTGACAGGACAAAGAGGGAAGAGGCTTCAAACTTCCAGAGGGCGGGGTTAGGTGGGATATTGGGAAGGAATTCCTGGTCGGGAGGGTGGGGAGGGGCTGGAACGGAATTCCCAGAGAAGCTGTGGCTGCCCCTGGATCCTGGGAAGTGTCCAAGGCCGGGTTGGATTCCCTCGGAATCCGTGCCCCGGGAAGGCCGAAGGCGTCAGGGCCGGAAGATTCCATGAGAAGATTCCCTGAGAAGATCCTCAGAGCCCTCGGGATCCCAAGGGATTCACGGACAGTTGGGATGGGATGGGAGGTGTTCCCTGGGCAGGAAGGATGGATCCGGTGGGAAAAGAAGGTTCTTTTCCCAAATTTCAGCCCCGGAGCCTCGGCAGACGGAGCCAATCCCTTCCCACTCCCTCGGCTGGACTTCCCAGCCGGGGAATTCTAGGTTTGGGGTTTTTTTTTTATTTATTTATTTTTAATTTATTATTTTTATTTTTTATTTTTATTTTTATTTTTTATTTCAAATTTTAAATTTTTATTTTTTATTTTTATATTTTTATTTTATTTTTATTTTTATTTTTTATTTTTATTTTTATTTTTATTTGTATTTTTATTTTTATTTTTTATTTTTATTTTATTTTTTATTTTTATTTTTATTTTTATTTTTATTTTTATTTTTATTTTTATTTTTATTTTTTATTTTTTTTAATTTCTTGTGGGTTTTTTTTGTATGTTTTGGG